TTATACGAGGTTTGAACATAGGTCATCAAGACTGAATATGCTATAGTGTGCAACAAATAATATATATATATATATATATATATATATATATATATATATATCTGCATATACATTTATATATTTATGTATATACATATAAATACACAGATACACTTTCATCATGGCGCGTTGGTCGCTCTTGATTTTCGTTCCCAAAAAAACTTTCTAAATACTAGCCAAAAATGATAAACATGGCAGAGTTTAGCACGGATATAGTGGCATTTATCTCACAGTGTCCGCTGCACTGCTCACCACATTTTAATTTTAAAGTTACTGAGTTGAGGTCTGGCCACAAAACATACAACGCACACAGCCGTTATAAGCGATTTGAAACAAAATATGGCGACACACTACGCATGCTTATATTCGCATGAAAGACAATTCAAATAGCAATATCATAGGAGCGAGATGCCGGATCAGTAGTCTAACTACGCAGCCAATTCTTCAGCTGGTAATCAATCCTAACATAATGAACCTGTGTAGGTTCATACAACGCGGCTTTTAGAATGTGCTTAGCCGGAATAAATCTTGCGCTATGTCATACGGAATTTTTAACAGTTTGGTTTCCAGTTCTATCATGTGTTTACATGTAACCTGAATGGGTTTTCGATATAAGCCTCTTCCGAGCAGGGAGCTAGAATCGCTTTTGAACTAGGGTGGGAGTGAAAAATTCCATCGCAAAAAGACCATGAGAGAGAGAAAAAATCAATTTACAAAAGATGGAACTTAAGAGCTCGTGACTGATGCTTCAGCAAACAAAGACGCCTATTTCAAGTTGGCATGGACGTAATATCAGAAACCTGACACAACTGTTTCGTTTTTTAACATCTTAGGCCATTAAAGTGAAACAAAATACATTAACACGCGCTCGGGTGGGGGGGGGGGCAAATTGCCCCCCCCCTCCCGAGACCTTTTCCCGAATGGTTTTTGAACGGCGCGGCGTAGCCGCGCCAAAGTTTGGATAGCTGTAGACAGTTGCATAGCGGAGCGTTTGATATGCAAATTTTAGATGCACCTTGTAAGGTCGCTGAACTATGACAGGTCAAAGTCAGCCCATGGTTTCAGCGAAGACAATTTCTAGGGAATCGTTCAATCTGATACAACAAGGGAGTGTTTGACGAAGGCATACATCTCTGAGATACTTTGTTAGGCACCATAAATATTGAATGAGCAAATTACGTTGACCTAAGGTCAGGTATCAGGGTCAGACCAAGGTCAAAACCAACCTGATTTATTACCCTTAGCGCTTGCTGTATGGGATAGTTTCTGGTGCTCATTTCGAATTTATCTACAGCAGGAACCGCATTATGCATCTTCCGTTGATTTCTTGGAGGTTTGAACAGGCCATTGACCTAAGATGACCCGGGTCTAACGTTTTGTGTTAGGAACATATTGTCTAGCGTGAACTTTGTCGCTTATTCAAATGCAAAACGCAGAGCAGTCATGTATCATTTTGGTCACCATGACCTTCAAAGGGTCAAACAAGGTCAATGACCTCAAGTGGGCTTGTGACCTTTTACTTAGAGACAGTTAACTAGGTTCTGGGGGCGGTTTGGAGACCAACCTGGAATCTGACCTTGTTTGACCTTATTTAACCTGAAGGTCATGACACGGGAAGCTGAAACCTTAACCTAAGTGAGTTTACGTATAGGTCAAGACACCCTGCAAATTTGGTGTTCCTAGCTTTCTTAGTTCCCGAAAGCTCAGAGGGGGGTCAAATTGACACCCCCGCCCCCACCCGAGCGAAGGGTAGCTAGCCGGCCAACCGGGCGCGTGTTAAAGCATAGTAATTTCATGACAGTTTTACGAGCATGACAAGTTATTAACACCAATAATTTGATGCTGCACTTTTCAATTCTCTTCCACAGCACTTTTAACACAAAACAAAGCAAAGGAATTCAATAACAAAATAACAAGAAAATGCAACAAGCATAAAACACTCAAACCAAAAATTCCCTGGATTCCTTCACATCAGCCCATCACTAAGTCAAACACAATGTACAAACTTCTGGCTTCTGTTAAGATGGGGTCAGAGAAAACAAACATTTTGTCACTGTTTCTTACAAAATACCAACGCTTATTTCCATGAAAGTAGCCTATGCCTAACCTCAAGAGGCGTTACACCATCTCATCCTGTATAACCTGTTTGTACCACAGCAGCAGTTGTGAGTTAATGATTCTTGCACAATTCCTATTGCCACTTGCCATGCATTTGACCAACTTAACCTAACTTAGAGTAGCCCATATGATGAACATCATCTCAACTCACCTATCTGTTGACAGCAGCACTTGTGATAAAAACATAACATTTAAACCTAGTTTTTGGCTGGTTTCAACTTGCATTTGTATTCAGTTCATTTGTGTATGCTTGTTGACATCAAAGTTGACCACATACAAATCAAAACACTTTAAGTCACTCTGAACAACTTATTTTGACTGTCATGGCTAACTTATGTCAAGGGCAATAATGGACATGCTCCACAAAACAATCTCTCTTCTCCAAGAATAACGTAACTTTTAGATGATCATGCCAGTATTGCTGCTTGCCTTTTTAGCTGCAGCAAAAGAATCCATTTGGGCTTGTTTATTCATTTTTAATGACAAAGTTTGAGATGTTGGCTCCACATTATAAATTGGGTGGTCTGACTATTTATTACATACAAATATTTAAATCATAATTGCTATCCAGCTTAGAGCATCACTGCGTTAAAACTATAGTGCATATGTACAAAACAGTCATTCGCCTGTCAGCAAACCATGGCAGCTATAGAAAGCATATGGTTAAAGCAGCCACGAGGAACCACTTTAAGAAATGCGGGGCAAATAACCAAGAATATGGAACAAAATAAGCCTACTGCATTGCTTGTGGCATAATGATTTGTCTTATGGCAAAACTCGATGCATTAAAACAGACCATTGCTAACCCTGGTTACCGATGCTGTGTTGAAAGCAGGCGACGTAAGCAATGACTTGGTCCGCAGGAGACTTACTGGCTTCTTCCTGTTCCCACAAAAACGAAAATTCAGTACCTTTTGCATGATCTGCTGGCAGACAGTCATCCGACTCACCCCCAAATATAAATATCAATCATGCCCACCAACCTTTGAGTTCAAAATGCGAAACAAGTAAGAGGTGTACATGATAAACATCTCCAGAGGGCAGAATTTCACCATCAACCACTTCTGTGTTAACTGCGTCAGGTCTATCCCAAGGCTCTTTATGGCAGCTTTAGAATAGCCTTGCCAGGTAGCCTGGCGGGTCAGACACTCGATAGGCTTGGATTTATCATTATTGAGCACCGCCATGAACCAAGAAAACGGTTAACCGAAGGTTTAATAGGGTAAAAATGGCGGTAAAAATAAGCTCCGTGCTTCAAATTGTCTCCTTCATTCCCTGTGAATTGTTCACGCTTGGGTGTATATCAAACATGTTTGGGCAGCTGGCGAATTAATCCAATTTATGTATTAAATACGTACAAGTTTGCAGTTGGAGCATCTTGCGGAGAAATTGGTCAAAATTTTAAGCAGCAGATGGCGCCTCTAAAATCAACCGAAAAGGAGGGAGGAATAAAGTGGTATCACACTGGTATGATACCAAGAAAAACAGAAGTAGCTAAATAAATATAAAGACTGGTACTTTTCTCGCGAAATTTTGCAGTCAGCTGATTTGACTTAAAAACTGTCGATGTAAGCGTTCAAATGGTGATATTCATATTGAAAGTTTAATTTAGAAGACATTTCTTGAGCTTTTCACTCATGCATTTCGGGAGTGATGCAATTCAGTGGTCAAGTTTCCCCGGGAAAAAAGAAGTACGTGGAGTAAAATTATCTACCAGGCCTTTCTGGTGTTTGCACCAGGCTCTGCTTTCGTGGTGTGGTGGTGAGGCCAAAAAAATACGGGATGCGTGAAAACCTTGCATTTGGCGCACAGCTGCAGACTGTGATGCATTTTGTAAACAAGCCAAACTTAATGCGTGCAAGCGGCTGGGGTCGCTGGGGTTCTTGGGCTTGGAGGTACCTGGAGCCCCTGCTCTGTGCATACATAAACGTGATTCAGATGTAGGTGAGGCAGGACATAGCTATTGGTGTCCAGGTTCTGCGGAGCCTCGTTTATGCTTGGTGGTTTCAAGTGAGCTCGATTTTGGATGACATATGAAAACCTCAGAAAGAGAAATGGGAGTTTGGCATGTGCGATTAGACAATGTCAGGCAGGAGCGAAAAATTCACATGAAATACGGGGAAAAGGAGTGAAAAATTCCTCCTCATAGGGTGGTGCTTTACACCCAAAGTCAGCAATTCTAGGACACTGCTTCCGAGCCGCAGCTAGAGCTCGTAAAGCCAGGGGACTAAAAGCACAACACTTTTATGAAATGGCCTTTAACGACGAAGGAATGCAAATGGAAGGGTTTGTTTTCTAAAAGAGATCCCGAGAGGAGGGAAGACCGTCACAATGTTGTGGAACAAAATGCACAGTTTGCCGAAACAACGCATGCATGTATTCACCCTGGTACACATGTCGCGGTCTGTTCGCTTTTTATGAAGGTAGAGCTAGGGCAAAAAACGGCAAACTCTTATGCCATGCATGCTACGGTGACAGCGGAGTCGGGCGTTTTACCTGCACGTCACGTATATTAGGAGGGAGGGGGGCGCTCTCACTTAGCGACATGGAACTAGTTTAATTTATTCGGTTGTATGATGTAAAATTGACGGTGCGTTGAAACCGACGTCGTGCTATTTGACACAAGACTTCAACGGCCTACGGTAGCAACGATTCTGTTATCTGCAATGCTCATATACTGCTGGTTTTCTAAGCCGCCAGCATCATGGACGTACTTGGCTTCCATGCTCTCACTCATGTATCCGATGATCTGCCAGCGGCGGGAGCGAGGTGTCGTCAACTGGCCTTGTGTGACGTCACGCGGTGCCTGTCTGCGGCGGGAGGCGGACCAGAGGTGACCGGCGGCGGGTGGAGCGTCGCTGCGCCGGCGCCGTCACCTCACGAGAGAGGCCCAGTCGGCCAGAGCAGCCGAGGCCGGGCGGTCGACCGATCCGTCCCACTCCCGCCCCCAGTCCAGCCCAGCAGGTTTGCAGTCGCCCGACTGACCGTCCGCACTGCCTCAGTCGGCGCGAGCCGGCCAGTGGGAGTGTGTCCTCTGAGCCTGAGCCGCGGCCAGCTGGTCAGGTGAGGCTGAGCCTGAGCCGTGGCCAGTTGGTCAGGCGACCTGAGCCTGAGCCTTGGTCAGTTGGTCACGTGAGCCTGAGCCTGAGCTTGAGCCGTGGCCAGTTGGTCAGGCGACCTGAGCCTGAGCCTTGGTCAGTTGGTTACGTGAGCCTGAGCCTGAGCCTGAGCCGTGGCCAGTTGGTCGGATGAGCCTGAGCCTGAGCTGTGGCCAGCTGGTCAGGTGAGCCTGAGCCTGAGCCTGAGCCGTGGCCAGTTGATCGCTCTCTGTCCCTCTGTCTCTCTCCCTGTCTGAGCTGGTCGTGATCGGGGGTTTGGTTTGGTTTCTGTCTGTCTGTCTCTTGGTTTGGTTTGCCCAAGTCGTGACCTGTTTATGCGTCTTCAACTACAACAGGTGGCCTGCCTTGTGCTGTCGTCTTACCTAGTCTGGGAAAGGAGGTTCCGTGCCAACCTTGAGCATGCGCCATGAATACGGGTCAGTTTGTCGTTTGTTTGCCCCGGCTCATCGATGATGGGCAGTTCGTGGTGATTTAGGCTTTAGGACGCGCCGCTGACCCTGGTCATATGGCGCCCACGTGTTTCGCTCATACATATTTAGCCATCAAACGAAAACTTATCGCTTTTGGGAACGTTGTTGCGACGGAGACGAAATGCACCAGAAAAGTTGCATGCATGAGCTTGTTGTTACACAACTGCTTGGTACACCTAGGATATACTTTGAATTCCTTGTTGTTTTTTGGTGGGTGGAGGAGGCATTCTGAGCTGGCAAATCTTACGATTACAATGATTGATGTTTCAGGTACCAGGAGGCATTGGTTAAGCGACATTTTCAAAGAAGCTCCGGTACCATGGACTAATCTTAAAGCAACTTACCCAGTAATGCAGACATGGCCAGCCATTTCACCATGTTAGCTGATAAATGTGGTCAAACAAGTACCTCGTGGTGCACTGAATTTAGATTTTGTCCGCAAAATCTCTCCCAACTTACATATCACTGTATGTAATGCGCAGTGGCAGAACGTATTTTGACACCTTGACATGAACGTAGTGCCCCGGAACGTTCGTCTGAACCGAATACGAAACTGCATCCCAGATCTGTCTGTGTCCCTTTGCGACCGGACAAAGCTGAATGACGCATTTCCCAGCTCCAGAGGCTGCTGTTGTTGTCAATAGGATTTAAGACGTTTGCAGCTGATGAGGCGTCGCTTGCCTCTCATCCTGACAGGTTCCACTGCGCATCGAATCCCGTGCCTGCGGGTTCCCATAGGCAGCCCGCTCCAGCGGTTCAAGGTTGTCGTTTGACACTTCTCCGGTCGCCTCAGATCACGCACCGGCAAACTCGACACCACAAAATATGACTGCGCAGAACAAAAACCCGGGCGCTTTCGCCCCAGCCTGTTATTTTGCGCGAGTCCGAGATGCTGCGATACTTGCTCACAAGGCGGGACCACGTTTTGACGGCGGCGGGGCTTGTTTTCGCCAGCTGACGGGGTACAGCAGACGATCTGATGGTGGCGGGCTTGCTTTCTCCAGCTGACGGGGTACAGCAGCCGTTCTGACGGCGGTGAGGCTTGTTTTCGCCAGCTGACAGGGTACAGCAGCCGTTCTGACGGCGGTGAGGCTTGTTTTCGCCAGCTGACGGGGTATAGCAGACGATCTGACAGTGGCGGGCTTGCTTTCTCCAGCTGACGGGGTACAGCAGCCGTTCTGACGGCGGTGAGGCTTGTTTTCGCCAGCTGACGGGGTACAGCAGCCGTTCTGACGGCGGTGAGGCTTGCTTTCGCCAGCTGACGGGGTATAGCAGCCGTTCTGACGGCGGTGAGGCTTGCTTTCGCCAGCTGACGGGGTATAGCAGCCGTTCTGACGGCGGTGAGGCTTGCTTTCGCCAGCTGACGGGGTACAGCAGCCGGTCTGACAGTGGCGGGGCTTGTTTTCGCCACCTGACGAAGTACAGCAGCCGTTCTGATGGTGGCGGGCTTGCTTTCTCCAGCTGACGGAGTACAGCAGCCGTTCTGACGGCGGCGGGGCTTGTTTTCGCCAGCTGACGGGGTACAGCAGCCGTTCTGATGGTGGCGGGCTTGCTTTCTCCAGCTGACGGAGTACAATGGCCACTCGGCCAGCCGTCGAGTATAACAACAGGCACGGCTGTTATTGTACGGCACGGCTGTACGGGCCGGTGGTGAGCACCGGCTTCACACTTGGCTCCCCTTGCACCCGGCAACGCTTCGTCGGAAACTAACTGCATCATTTCGCCTTGTTTGTGAGGTAGGGACCGGGTGAGCTGAAAAGAGAGAGCGCCAGCGGCACATGCCAGTCAATTTTGAGTGAATATGAGCGACAACATTCCATGTTGCCCACATCCATATCCAGGCAGGCTGCCATCGGTAAATCTATTGGTTTAGCTATTTTGAATTTGTTGAGAAAAGTTCAGGAACTTTCCGATTCACGGACGGTTGCTAGAAGGTGCAAAGCGAAATGCAGTGACAACAGAACCAAGCAGGGAAATGGTCTGCCTTTTAGATGATGTTCGATTTTGCGTCATGTGCATGGCGCCTAAGTAGACCTTCCAGACCTTAATCATATGTATCACTGTCCAGCGCCATGACCCCATTCATGAGAACGGCCTATCGTGTTGCATCTTAGAAGGGGTTCTTGTCACATCACAGATGTTACAGAGATTGGGGAACCAGAAAAGGGTCCTTTGTCTTTCCCAAAACGAACGAAAAATTGTTGCTCTAAACAGCAATCTTTTGAACCCAACAAAGCTGGAGAAAATGAAATATTGTCACTTAACGCTTTGTCATCCGTCGTGGCGCTTTGGACTCAAGGACTTTGAACAGGTGATCACTAGAGACCACTCTCGTTTCGTATAAAGCCCATGGTAAGGTCAAAACTTTGCAGACCTGTTCTAGCATGACGACAAAACTCATGACAATAAGAAAGGTACCAAAACCATCAAGGGAGCATTGTGTTGCATTGTACTGCAATTTATCATGCCATTCCTCGTCACTGGGTTATTCTTAGATCTTTGTCAGCAGCCATATCGACACAACGCAAGGCAACAGCGCGCGGTCATAACGCGTTGATCATAAACATGACACAAAAAAACAACAGTTTTGCGTACAAGCGGTTAAAACGTCGGGTACTTTGATTAATATCATGGAGACAGGTCCTTAAAGTAGAGAAAGACAAGATTGCAATGTCATCGCTGATGACACCTTCTTTGTTGTACATGAGCGCAGCTCAGTAGGCATACGCTCGCTTTCCGTGGCTGTTCTTGGGGTGTGAAGGAGACAAATGACTAGGGTACCGCGTACTGCGCTCGGCGTTTTTTTTTCGTTATAGGAGAGCTCAGAACGTGAAGAAGTCTCTGTCTCGTCGTCGGTCAATATTTTTGTAAAAGGCATATACCAAAGAAGTCACTACATGTCTTGGCATTAACGCGCGCCCTGGTGGCCGGCTGGATACCCTTCGCTCGGGTGGGGGTCAGTTTGATCCCCCCTGAGATCTCGGGAACCAAGAAAGTTGGAAGCACCAGATTTACATGGTGTGTTGACCTGTACGTGATCTCACTTAGGTCAAAGCGTCAGGTTCCTAAGTCATAGCCTTCGGGTCAAATAGTTTCAAACAAGGTCAAACTTCAGGTTGGTCTTTAAAGTGCTCCCAGAACCTAGATAACCGTTTCTAAACGAAAGGTCACATGCTCATTTGAGGTCAGTAACCTTGTTTGACCATTTAAAAGTAATGGTGACTGAAGTCATACAAGACTGCCCTGAGCTTTGCATTCGAATAAGCGACAAAGATTACGCTAGGCAGTATGTTTCAAAAAAAAAATGTTGACCTCGATCATTTTAGGTTAATGGCCTATTCTGACCTCGAAAAAGTCAATGAAAGATGTATAACGCGGTTCCTTCTGTCAATGAATTTGAAATGAGCACCAGAAACTATCCCATACAGCACGCCCTAGAGTAATAAAATAGGTTGTTTTTGACCTTGTTTTGACATTCATATGTGACCTGTACCTGTACCATACCAGACCTGACCTTTGACATCCATGCCTGATTCATACCTGTAGCATCAGACCTTAAGTCAACGTAATATGCTCATTCAATATTTGCGTTTCCTACGAAAGCATGTCAGAGACGTATGGCTTCGTCTAACTCTCCGTTGTAGCATCAGATTGAACGATTCCCTAGAAAATGACTTTGCTGAAGCCATAGCCTAGCTTTGACCTGTCATAGGTCAGCGACCTTACAAGTTACATCCAAGCTTTAATACCAGACGATTTGTTATTCAATTGCTTACAGGTATGCAACATTTGGCGCGGATACGCCGCACCGTTCGGAAACCATTTGGGAAAAACCTTCGGTGGGGTTAACTGCCTTTTGCCAATTGCCAATTGCCGGTGACCCCCACCCGAGCGCGTGTTAAGCCAGTCAAACAGTCATAGAACATCCGGCACACTGTCCAATTTTTGTTGTCCGTAGATCATCCTAGCTCTCATATTAAACACGTTGTGCAATATGACAACTGTCGTTCTGCAATATGACAACTGTCGTTCTGCAATATGACAACTGTCGTTCTGCAATATGACAACTGTCGTTCTGCAATATGACAACTGTCGTTCTGCAATATGACAACTGTCGTGCTGCAATATGACAACTGTCGTTCTGCAATATGACAACTGTCGTTCTGCAATATGACAACTGTCGTTCTGCAATATGACAACTGTCGTGCTGCAATATGACAACTGTCGTGCTGCAATATGACAACTGTCGTGCCGTCGGTGCTCCCCGGGTCCGGGCGCCGTGACGGACATGGGAGAACACAAACGCGTCCGTGATGCGTGACAAAACATTAGCAGGTAACACATATTCGGCTGTTAGGGGAGCGACGAGAATGCAAAACCGACTGGTGGCATGACTCACATGCGGCTCCCAGGACATCGCAGGCTCCATTATTACGCCCGTATCCCCTCGCGCGGCATTGCTTTGCGCAACTCTTTGTCTATAACATATAACTGCTTTTTACCAGACCAAAGGTATTGAACGGCTTCTCTTGAGCCGGGAAATAGTGTAGCACGCCTTTGCCAAATCTTGTGCGCAATATTTCCGCAGTTTGAAAAGATGAATCACATTAACTACCTTAAGCGAACCCTCGGCCGCGACCAGGGGCGCAGCCAGAGTCTTGTTAAAGGGGGAGGGGCGCAGAATTGACATAGTGCCTCCTGATGGTACAAAGCTCACGAAAACGTTTTGCCGTCATTTTTCCTTTCGATGAGCTTGAAATTTTTCCATAAATTTGATTTTTTTCCTTTCCTTTAAACTGAACTTTAAGTAATAAACTACCGGAAGATGCATTTCTCTTTATGTTTTAAAGTCAATATTTGAGGGCGGATTTGGGCGTTCAACTAATGTGCGCGATAACCTACCGGCGCTGCTTTTACAATGATCCAGTAGACGCCTCCTAAGCCTATAGCAATCTGAGGCTTCTTCAGAAATATCGAAGTTTTACAGATATTGCAAGGGCCCCGCAAACGAAGACCGAACTGGGGTCAGCAATTTGAATTTACGTTGTCAACCCATGGTCTTCTGGAAATTTTGATCACTCATTCAGAATCGATTAGTGAACAGAACTGCTTGAACAACGACCACAACATAGTTCAAGCATGCGGACTTGGAAGTCTCCAGAGCAAACGATCCGACGCCCGGCGTTGCAGTCTCCAAAGGCTGCGTGGCGTTGGCTCTGTGGCCAACATAAGGCGGTGAGCTGGCAGCGGCCGACAACAATGGCGTATCCGAAAAACAGCTACAAACGCTTTAAGACTTTCTACCGTGCGTGTAAAAAGCGGTACGGACGCATATTTCACTTGTGGGATTTTTTAGACTGATTTTTGGAACGGATCAGCATTTATAGCACAACCTGGAGCTGGAATGTGGTGGGAAGCTGAAGAAATAATGGAGGTATTTTTGTTTTTTGTGTGAGATCGCAACCACCACCTGATGGTATCTGCGGCGGTCAACGCTTTTCGGTTTGAAAGAAATTGCAAGTCTGGTTGTCGGTGCTCTTGCTGCTATGATTGCGAGCCCGCAGGCTCAATACTTGTTTATGTAATTTATTTCACTAGCCGAGTCTGCAAAGATGGATAAAGACGGATGAATATCAAAGATGGATGTACATAAGTGAAACATGGTTTGGCCTTTTTCCCGTTTTCACGTTTTGCTTCATTTAGATCCACTCTGCTGGATACTAGCGAGATCCCTTACCCCTTTCCGGGACAGCGGGTCCGTGGGTAGAATACGGGGGCAGAGTTTCTTTCCCAGTCAGGAGATAGAGGGCCATTCCATCCAACGCGCCAATTGCCATTCTGGCGACACAGGTGTCCACGGGTCGATCCGGAGGCCCTAAGAGGGATGTCTCATACATTGGCCCCTTTGCTGACGCAGGAGGCCGTCTAATCCTGGCAGCTCTCCCAGGATCGACGCAAGGGCCGACACTAACGAAAAAAAGATCCCTTAATATCGCCGGAGGGAGTTCAGTAACTGGCACAGCGACTTCTGTTCGGCTTAACGGACCCTTGGCTGAAGTGGGATGGAGAACCCCCTCTCCGGTTGCGTGCTGGATACCCTGAGTCACACAAACCCGACTGACGTGACTTGCATCGCCTTATTGTGGACTTTCACGTCAGTTCTCGTATCTCCTTTCATTGTCAGAAGGCCCTGGCCAAAACAGGAGGCCCTCTAGCATTCGAGGGGCACTGTTCAGCAAATGCTCCCTGGCAGACTCGGGACCACTTGCCGAAACAAGATCCCCTGTTAGCCATTGTGGGTCCCTGACCGACACGGGCCCCTCCTTGTTTCGGGGGCCCGACCAAAGAAAAAAGCGGGCCCCGGCCCTGCCCCTGCTCGGGAAATGGGGCTCCAGGGCTCAGACCGACCCGGAGCCCACTGTTCACTGTAGTAGTCTCTGGCCGGGATGGAGGTCCGCATTGTTCCATAGGGTTCCCAATGGGTGCAAGAGGCTCTGTTACTGGCATTTGAAGTACCAGCCCTACGGGCCGTGGTCCTTGTGATCTACAGCGAGCTCTTCGGGCCCTTCATTGCCTGTCATGACTGCCCTACGGGCCTCCTCAAACACTGACCCTGGCCGACTCGGGCTCCTTGCCAACACTGGACCTATGTCAGACGCTGTTGGCCCCTGGACCAGACAGAGGCCGCTCATTGACTCAGGTGCCCGTCCAAAATAAATTTCCGGCCCCCGGCCTTGCCACCGGCTTGGGGAATTGGTCCTCAGGCCCAGACCCACACTGAGCCGACTGCTCATTACTGGTGGTGCCTGACCTCATCGACTCAGGGGGCCTAATCAGCGTAAAGGACGCTTTGAATGGCACCTGAGGGTTTACTCCTGCGGCCCGGGGTCTCTTACACTCCCTCCGGCCAGTCTTTCCTGCCATTCTGGCCCTCAAAACTGGCCCTTAATGGACGGTCACGGGTGTTCCTTCGGCGTCTCGGGACGTAAGAGGGAGGCCGAGGGGGGCACGTGCCTCCTGTATTCTCCCCCTGCTTGCGCCACTGGCCGTGACGACTTCCGGACGCTGTATTGGAGAGCAGCTGCATCACCGAGTGGGCCAGACGTACTCGTCAGCAGATCGTCGCCAACGCGTCAGAAGACCGTTACGTCTGCGGTGGGACCGGTCCGCCTTGACAGATGAGGCCGTGCTCGGCTCGGCTGGACACGGGCCGCCGCGCGCGCCGCCCCGTCAGCAGGGGTGTCAGCCGCGCTCGGGTATCGTCATCAGGGCTCCGCCCCGCACCGTGACGTGCCGGCCCGAGCCACTCCACCGTGAGCCGCTGCCGACGGGGCCCGGGCGTCACCGTCGACGGTGGGGTCACGGAGCCCCGGCGTCACCGTCAACGGTGGGGTCACGGAGCCCCGGCGTCGCTGGGAACGGCTAGGTCACGGGGCCTCGTTGTCGCTGGGAACGGCTGGGTCACGGAGCCCCAGCGTCGCTGGGAACGGCTGGGTCATGGAGTCCGGTGCGGCAGTGCTCCGGGTCACAGGGTGTGAGAACGAGTGGATTGCATGAGACGTAATCTGGTGCACACAAATTCGGTACGGAGAGAATCGTGAGGAAAGGGTCTGGGGCGACAGGGTGGCAGAGACTCAGATGACCCCAACACATCGCAGTGTTCGAAATGGGAGGCTTCTGTGACAGGGTTTGTCAAAACATGGAAGAGCGGCTTTGGCTTCAGCTGTACAAACATAAGTCAGGCGACAGAGCATGAGTGCATATAGCTATATATGTATGTAATCGATCATCTGGGCATGTACAACCGCATTTCTGCCTGATGATGTTTATTTCATCAGGAATGACTAACACAGTAAGATGCGCACTGCTCGTCTGCCGGCAGGTTGTCGTATTTCGTGCCGACCAACCAGACTGCTCCGGGTGCAATGACACCCAGTAGCACTTGCATGAACGGGCCGGAAGGCCGGTTGGTGTCCGGTGACGCGCTGCTGGAGGGCGTCGGCGCTCAGGGCTGGTACCAGCGCCGCCTGCTCTGGCTGTTCGTGCTGCCCGTCTGCTTCTTCCTGCCCGTGGTCTGCCTGAACGTGCTGATGCAGGTGACGGCACCGGACCACTGGTGCCACGTGCCCGGCCGGCCTGACAGCGTGTCCCTGGACCAGTGGCGCCAGCGCACCCTGCCGCGGTGAGTGGGGCGTCCGCCGCGCTGAGGTCCACCGCTGATAGTTGTGTTGTGATTAACGATGAATTTCCCGAGCCAAAGGACTTTCCGTTCGCCTGCGGCTATGCGGGAGTAAAACGATGAATAGCGTGCACTGTCGAGATCCGGACACACGCAGGAAGCGCGTCCACCACAGGAGCAGGCGATGCACCCCACGTGCTCACGACTATTTGCTCGAAAGTTTTAGAACTCAGTGCTCCCGCTGCCAATAACAGACAAATAAACAAAATCAGTGCCCGGAAGCCCCCAGGACCCAAAGAAACACACATAAATTTAACTTCGCGTAAGCAAAAACGATGGTCAGAGTTTGGTCATATGATAACTGCGTAATTAGTTCAGGTGGTGGCGCTGCTTTTGCAGACTGCTTTGTTATCATGTTGTTACCAGATTTCATCGGATCAGAGAGTACAGTAACGGGTCAATGCAACTGCAGTCAGAGATGCAGAAGTCATTCATCGCCAAGAAAAGAGCTATTACTGGGCCGTTGGCAAGGAGGTAAGACATGAACAGCGACATTTGTTATGCACCAACACGGCAATGTTTTCTTTTGCCCACACGAACAAGCTTATTACGACTTATAAGCATTGGAATCATCTTTTGTTATGAGCCCAAAAATAGCCCTGAAATATAATAGCCCCATTTAAAACCAGGCCAGAAAGCGCAAGATTGCCAATTTTCTTGGCCTGTGCCTGGCGTGTGTGCATAAAACAAAGCCGTGACCAGACCCAGTACAAATTTGCATTGCTCCTGCTCAATCTGCATTGCTTATCCGTGACGTCGCTAACCCCTGGTCAACAACACAGAATGTTCTGAATAAAAAACCTGGGATGCAGGCTGCCATTTATATCCGAGCAACATGTCATCTTGTTATGAATATCAAGCTACCTCCCCGAAATATACAGCGAGTCGCATAAAAAATAATATGGACATGACCGCTCGGACAAACGGAGGGATCAACTGCACAGAGCCCGGTCCCACGGGGGGGGGGATGAGTGCGTGCCTCCTGACTCAACGGAGGGATCAACTGCACAGAGCCCGGCCCCACATGGGGGGATGAGTGCGTGCCTCCTGACTCAACGGAGGGATCAACTGCACAGAGCCCGGCCCCACATGGGGGGATGAGTGCGTGCCTCCTGACTCAACGGAGGGATCAACTGCACGGAGCCTGGCCCCACATGGGGGATGAGTGCGTGCCTCCTGACTCCGATAGGCCCAGGGCTCCCTGCTGCTGAACAGCGGCCGAGGAGTCCAGCGCCGGCACACGTGCTCACGAGCGGTGTAAGCGCAGCGCGGAGCCGGTCGATGCCGGCGCCGCTCGAGGCGGATACCATCTCGGTCCCTGCATACTTGTATGGCAGCAGTGCCTTATAGAGCTCATGCCCGGGCGGTGGCCGTGACAGCGTGGTTGAAGTTCGCGTGGCTGCGGCCAGGCGGAGGGCGGGGATGGGCGCACGGGCCCGGTTACGCAAACACTATATCGGTATATCAGGACTTAAGCCCACTGGTCCACCCAAATAAACAATAGGATCTTCTGGCCTGAGAAGTATGAAAATAGCCAATAGAGGTGGGCTTCAGATCGACATGCCTTGAGTGGATCGCTCTTCATTTTTTACAAGATATTCCAAAGGGCTTACGAGTAAATTTAGTTTTGTCCGGGCGGTCAAAGAACTGTCAAAGTGTCAGTTGGCACTTGTCACCTAAGCGGCAACCGAGGATTCCGCGGACCGCCCGCAGCCGACCAACAGCTGTTGCATTAACCAGTAACGGACCCAGGGGTGTAACTCTCTAAAATCGGCTGGGAAGCTCAGGCGAAAAGGTTTGCCAAACCTATCTTACCTATCTATCCCTGATTTGTAACCTATCTTACAACCTGATTCCTCCTTGAATTTCGACGACGTTTTTTTGTCTCCGATCCCGAAGTAACAAAAAACTTACGTAAGTTCTTCAGTGCACCAGCGAGGAGCATTATTCACCTAGATAAGGCAATAGTAATAGCTTTATTGCGCGGAGGAAAACCAGGAGAATGGAGATATATAATAGAGAATACGGGAAAATTTAAAAGCAAAACTTCTGCTATTGTTTCGATAGAGGCATCTTGCCGAGACATCAACCCATCTATATTTCCATTCTCCTGGTTGTTCTCCTAGGCCTAAAGCTAGTACTGCTGTCTTATCTGTGTTAAGAAAAACTTGCATAGTATTTTGTAAATTTGACGTCGTTTTCCGGCGGAAGAATGATTTCACAGTTCAAGTTAATGTGGGCTGCTGTCCTGAAAAAGATTTCAAATGGGGTGCATTCACGGGAAAAACCTCTTCGTAAATTTTAATACGGAGTAACTTATGACTACCGCTGTCATTAATCATGCTATATAGCCACCACAGCCACGGTTATGCGACAAGACACTTGCCACTTGGGAAAAACATGTGCTAACTTTTATCTGCGCCACTGTAATTTTAAAAGCTACCACACCTTGCAGTAAATTGCTTTTTATCTCAATCCAGGCGTTAATCTTTGGAAAACAAATTTGCCAACACTTGCAGACTGGCTTAACACATGAAGAAGTTGGCATGACAAAGACGTAAGGTTGCAGGATACTTTTTGGTACGAAATTAACATGCCACCAATATCGATGCTTGGCGCCTGCTACCCAGTCATGTTATATGTGGCTTATATGTGGCGAGTAACTGCCCGTTGGTGACATGGCCATTACCTTGGCCTATATGTGGCGAGTAACTGTCCGCTGGTGACATTGCCATTACCTTGGCTTGTATGTGGCGAGTAACTGCCCGCTAGTCGCATGGTCATTACCTTGGTTGCCACGATCTCGTGCGTATACGGAGAGCGCTGGCGACACAGAGCGGTACGCACTTGAAGATCGTTTGCATAATTCGAGACGGAAAAATATGATGCCCTTTACATGCCTGGCGAATCAGCGACATCGCAGCAACCATTTCAGCGCATGTGCCTTGTTGTTTCGAACGCTGAATTTCGTTCACATGCATTCGGAATTCGGTCATTAATTTTAGGGTGTAGGAATCCTAGCCGCCTATAGCCGCTGCCAAAACAACGTAGAACAATCACATTTTCCTAGAGCATAGTGCAGCCGATTGACGCGATACAACACTTGTGCCTCATCTCAGTATAAAGTAGGCCAACATGAACCAATCGCGATGCGTATTAACTGACCATCCTTACCATACGTCCAACCCTGAACACCCGCAGCCCCCAGCTGAATGTAAAAATTCAACAAAATGGCCACCATCGCCGTGTTCGCAAGCTGCTGTCAGCGCTGACAAACGACATCTTCGAAAAGCCATTTGCTAGAGCTAACGATACCTTCTCAATGATGTTGATGTGTTGAGTACTGTATATTGCTTGTGGTCTGCCCGATAGCTTCGTTCTTCCATACAAACCAGAGAACATTCGCGTGCTTTGGCAATATCTCGTCAGTGAAGGCAAATTGGTAGAAATCGATGACACCAAGTATTTAATCTAAGCTCCCTACTATCCTACGTGCAACGTCGAAAATACCAGCTTGACAAGACACATTCCCTTTCGGTGTGCGTTCGTGATAGAAAAACCAAAAAACAAACACTTGCTGGAACTAGAAAAGGTAATTTCCCCGCTGATCGACTCAAATGAAGATGCCCCCCAAATAATTAGTGCCATGGAAGAGGCAGATGTAACTGAACAGATTAATATAGATATTAAGGAATGGAAACATTCCCCACAGGAAGGTGTATCAAGCAGCCTATGCTGAAAACAGTTCATCTTAATTTTTCAAGAAAAATGTAGAGCAAGATTGCGCACCATTCATATATGTTGTCATATCAATCTACAATGAAAGGCGTGCTTGCCGTTGAGATATAGCTGATTCAGAACGAGTGCACTGTCTTCTATGCTAAGTCTCACAAACAGGCACTACGGGAGGTCTCTGAGTCTAATAGAGGTTTAGAAATGGTACAGAGAATCACTAGTGCACAGCGCGAGAAATGTGAGCCGCCAATCACAGCCGCCGTATTGACGGCGGTGCTCGTAACCGTGTCAAAATGTCGCCCTACCCATGGGTGGACAGCATAATTCTTTAAACCTTTGAGGATTTTTCCCCTTTGCTTTTGGTTACGTCGAAGGAAACTTATGGACAAGTGCTTTTCTTTACCATAAATGTAACTTCTGTGTGTGTTCTTCTTAATGTTCTTTACCATAAATGTAACAACGTTGGTCCCAAAAAGGAAAGAATAAGGAGTAGGCATATAAAAACCTTGATACTGATAGGTCTTTTACCTATAGCCTATAAAATTATTGCAAACACGATGGCTTTGTGGAAAAAAAAGGTGGTGGACCGCTGGATTCATTCAAGCAAGTCTGTCCTAGATGACTGACATGTTGATAAGAATTTCAGGCTGATTCTTGACCTGATGGAGTACACAGAGAGCAATACAATTAAACGATCGCTAGTTCAGCGCTGTTTTTTCAAGACCAGGACTGGACTGCAAGGTAGGATTGCATAAGCTCGGACTACGTAAACTAGACTTTAAAAGCATGGGTTTTCGGGCCCCACTTTCGATGTTGGATATCCGTATTTTACCCGACTCTAACACAGCACGCGAACAAATGTTAATAACTGCTACCCTCCAGAGTTCCTAATCGAACGTAGAAAATGACAAGGATGCCCACTAAGCTTTCCGACTTGTAGGTTAAAACTCATACCGCTGTTGCGAAGAGTATGGACAAATGGTTCTATTCAAGGCATTTAAGTCACCGATGCTGAAATCTGGCTTTCAGCGGATAAAGGTGACTTGGCAGTGGTTTTAGACTGATTGGAGGACTCTATGCGCAATATGGTAGCTCGTAATTGAACACGTTTTTTGAAGAAACTGGATTTAGGCTTATCTATACAACGATTATCTGGGTATAGATTGATGGCGAAAATAATCAGCGGCCGTCCGTATGTCATGAATCAA